ACGTCCTTGAGGACAGGCAGGAGGAATTTGAGTGTTTTGCAGCTGCTGTACCTCATCTCGTGTCCATGCTGATTGCACCTGAGGGAGACCCGGATGCACCAGACATCCCGACCCCGCGCTCTTACGCAGAGGCGATTGAGGGTCCCTACTCCTCTCAGTGGCAGACAGCCATGGACGCAGAGATGGCATCCTGGAAGTCCACAGGCACTTACGTTGACGAGGTTCCCCCACCTGGGGCGAACATCGTCAGTGGCATGTGGATTTTCAGGGTGAAGCGGCCGCCGGGTTCTCCGCCTGTCTTCAAGGCGCGTTACGTTGCACGAGGCTTCAGTCAGCGACAAGGAGTTGACTTCTTCCAGACCTTCTCCCCTACCCCGAAGATGACCACTCTTCGGGTGCTGCTGCACGTTGCCGCGCAGCGTGACTACGAGCTTCACTCTCTTGACTTCAGCACAGCCTTCCTACAGGGCAGCCTGCACGAGGAGATCTGGCTGCGCCGCCCACCTGGCTTCACTGGGTCGTTTCCTGCAGGTACCCAGTGGAGCCTCCGGCGGCCAGTCTACGGTCTCCGCCAGGCGTCTCGCGAGTGGCACGACACACTGAGGACGACTCTTGCGGCTCTTGGGTTTGCTCCTTCCACTGCTAACCCGTCGCTGTTTCTACGCACCGACACTTCTCTGCCGCCGTTCTATATCCTCGTGTACGTCGACGACTTGGTCTTTGCCACTGCTGACACTGAGGGACTCGCCCACGTGAAGTCGGAGCTGCAGAAGAGACACACGTGCACAGCCCTGGGTGAGCTGCGCAGCTATCTTGGCTTGCAGATCACCCGGGACAGAGCACAGCGCACCATTACCTTGACTCAGTCACACATGGTGCAGCAGGTCCTTCAGCGCTTCGGCTTCGAGTACTCCTCGCCACAGGCCACTCCTCTGCCTACCGGTCACTCGCTCTCAACTCTGCCTTCGGATGAGTCCGTAGAGCCGAGTGGCCCGTATCCAGAGCTTGTGGGCTGCCTCATGTACCTGATGACCTGCACTCGACCTGACCTTGCTTACCCTCTTAGCATCCTGGCTCGCTACGTTGCGCCCGGGAGACACCGACCAGAGCACTGGAAGGCCGCAAAGAGGGTGATGCGCTACTTGTGCAGTACGTCGGGCATGGGGCTCGTGCTTGGAGGACGGGCTCGAGTTGTCCTCACTGGTCACGCAGACGCTTCTTAGGTTGATGACTTGGCTACGCAGCGGTCGTCACAGGGTTACACTTTCAGCCTTGGCTCTGGCTCTGTTTCTTGGCGGTCTACCTGCTCGTCTTCTGTTCTCAGCTCCAGCTGTGAGGCTGAGATCTACGCAGGGGCCATGGCTGCACAGGAGTTACGCTGGCTCACCTACCTGCTGACCGACTTGGGCGAGCCGCCTCGTTCTCCTCCAGTTCTGTACGTCGACAACAAGGTCATGATTGCCTTGTGTCAGGATCACAGACTGGAGCACAGAACGAAGCACATCGCTCTGCGCTACTTCCTTGCTCGAGAGTTGCAGCAGCGTGGTCAGCTTCGTCTTGTTTACGTGGCCTCTCAGGCCAACACTGCTGATATCTTCACCAAGGCATTTCAGCCTTGTGATCATCAGCGTTTCTGTACTGTTCTAGGCCTTGTGCCTACTTGGCCTCACTTGCTCACTTCTTGACTTTGCTTGTACTGTGATCTATATACATATACCTGCATGCTTACACTTGCTAGGTTGTGATCATTGTACTGCTTGTTCTCCTTTATATATATCTCTGCATGTGAACTGGCCTTGTGGCCATTTGCTTGTGCTCAGAATGCGTGGTGACGTTGTGATCCACCCTGAGCTTGACCTTGCTTCGTTCTCTTGCTTGTCCCCCACTTTGCCTATGGGGGTGTGTCAGAACTATGCTCTAGGCTGTAGTGTGGCACTCCTTATGGGGTACAGCCCAATTAGGTTTTGCTATACAAACCCTGTACTGCTGTCATTCTAGTCAATCATTCTTTCCTATTTCTGACACGTACCACCGTGAGACCGAACAAACGGAATGGACAAATCAGAACATGGAGCAGTTGCGCAATGTGTGACAACCCTGCAGCATGGTAGCAACAACTACTGCTGGTTTAGTTCGTATACAATAATGTCGCGTCAATCACTACAAAATAGCCGCCATTCCACATACATAATCCAAAAGTGCTCGATAGTTCGCCGAAATACTGCAAGCTGCCTGGACCCGCGCAGCAGAAGTAGTTAAATAAATCAAACGTCATCGCTAAAAGGAATGCTCGATCGCCACCGCCGCCCCGCCACGTACCAGTCAGGAGGCTTTGCGCTGCTCGACACTCAGAACCTTCGCGTGCCCGTCATACCCAAACTCCGACCCAAATACTGTGGCCCGTTCCAGAACAGCCAGACGATCACGCCCGTCACTGCCCATCTACTATTACCCGCCGACTGGTACATCGTCTCCTTGTTCCACGCCAGTCTCATTCGACCGTAGATACCTGCCACCAACGAACTGTCACAACACTGACCACCATGAATTACGCGCCCCGCATCTTGAGTCGATTATCGAACCTGGGAAAATTCTTAGCCATCGGATCTGACACCCCCTTTACGATTAAATTTCTCGTTCACTGGAAAGATCGCACGCAAACCGAAGACAGTTGGGTGCCCCTGGGCAACATCGAGTAGCACCCTGTCCTTCAGGAGTATTCCAGAAGCGGGGGATTCTGCGGTTCACGCATGAACTTAGCGGAGGGCTTCTTGGTCGCATGAAATTTCTGTGCATCTACGTAACGCGTTAAAGCCCAAGACATGAATTACTCAACGCAAGTCAACGCGGGGCAAAACTGTGGGCTGCGGCAGGCAAACTTTGCACAGTTTGCCTTTTTTTTTTTTTTTTTTTTTTTTTTTTCGGGTCCTGGACTTTAAGCACCTGACCATTTTTCGTCTGTTACTGGTTACCGGTGGTCGCCACTTCGCGCGTCACTTATACCAAACCGCGCACTGCTGTACTTGGCCGGGTCGGCCTACGCTTTGGGACTAGCCCAAACGAGCTGCCAGCACTGCAATAGCTAGCTCGCAAGCCTACGTTACCGTTTGATTGTGTCGCTATAAATGTTCCCTCATGCCTTTGCTCACATGTTTTCATCTTTGCCCCTTGATTGTAGTCCTCGCTTGCTTCATCGCATGCACTTGTAACAAGGACCAATGGCTTGAGGGAAATAATGTTTACAGGACTTACAAATGATGTTGGGGTGGTCAACGTGCACAGTTCGTCACTATGACGTGGATATTCAGGTGAGATGACGAATGCCATTTGGAAATCCAATTATATGGCGCCAAGTCGGGACTGTCAGTTTGTGCTTCTTGTCTGTCACTTCTCCCGCGTCATCAGGCAGACTTGCGTGGCATGACGTGGAACAGGCTATTGACAGCGGATTCTTGCTCTGGAAAACTCGGAATTCCCGGTTAGATGTCACCATTCCAAGCACTTCAAATCGAAGTCGATTGGCTTGGCGGCGAAACCAAGCCAATCGAGGCCCACCACAACAACAGTGAGAGATTGTTGAACTTCGTGCACCAGATATTCAGGAACGCTCTGCTCAGATAAATATTCAACATGACAGCCACACTTTTCCAGATGTAAGGTAACGTCAATCATTCTAAAATTACCCATATTTGTATATATTGTTTAGTTTTTATTACAAATATTAAATGGGATTCTTCGAGATTTATGTATATAATATATTACTTTTCCTTCAAAAATACAATAAAATTTAGCTAAAGCCTGATTGCAATCCAAACTGAAAGGGTTTTGTATTTGGTTGATAATAACCAGGTTGTAAATAAATAACCAATAACAATTTAAGATAGCACTGTATAAAATTAGAATAGGTCTGGAAGTTTTTAGAAGGCGGGTTTAGGAATTATGATTAGTCATTTTACCTTTTTGTTTGTGCTTATATAGGATATTGCCATAGACTGTTTATGCATCACTTGTGGTACATTTTTTTTCACTAGTATCAAACTGAACCATTATAGTTTTGAGTCCATCCAGGAGCGTCCGAATTTATTTCGCATTTTTCGTGCACGGATGCGACCAGGAAATGCGGGCAAGGTTTGTGTGATCTGGTACTGTAGAAAAAATATATTCGTTGGAGCAAAATTTCGACTCCCCTCCATGGATAGATGCCATGCCAAGGCAAAGGAAGGGTCATGCAATCATGAACCCTCTGCCAGCAGTTCAGTACAGCAACCAGCTCAACTGCCCCACCATCGGGCGCCTCCCTCGAGTGTGTCATCTGACAGATTTTTCTTGGTCGTTGACGAAGACGATAGAATCGATGCTCTTTGTTTCGCCTCGGGGTTTCCTCCTCCTTGTGCTGAGTGTTGGTGGTAGAGTGCTGTCCTGCCAAACCAGTTTGGATTTAGCCTGAAGCTCTGGCCGTCAGCAAGTCTAAGAAGTTGTGTTTCCTTCCTAGATCTATAATTCCTATCCGTTCCTCGATTTCGCGCCGTAACGTACGGTTGAGAAGTTTTTGCTTTGAAGTAGGCTAAAGTTCCTCTGCTTGGTATCCATGGAGGTTGCTGTTGGATATCGCACCAGTCTGGGCTTGAGCGAGTGTGTGCCGTCTTCTCAGCTATCACCCACAAGGCACAAGCAATCCTCGCTGTCTTCGTCTCACTGTTGCGCCGACTCGTTTCGAATTCACAGCTTAAGCTCTCCTGGGGTAAGTGATGGTGGTTAAATCAGTCTCCATGTGCCCCTTCATTATCTCTGCTCTGGCATGTGCGGATCGCATAACTGACGGTATTCTTGAAATATTTTGTTCCCAGACCTCCCCCAGAAAAGCTGCGATTTCGCCGAGAGCCACAGCAGATAACCACACGGCCTTGTCAGCAACGGCAGTGACAAAAAGGGAACAAAGTGCTACCAAGATCGACGAGGCATGGCACGAGAGCACCAGCATTTACCTTCAAAACTCGACTATGTGGCAACAGAACCTTGAGCTGGACTTTGAGACAAGGTGGGAGCCTGTAATGGATTATCCTTGGTTGCTGTCAGTTTGTTGGCCTTCGTCAGTTCAACCTCTCCATCTGTTCGCCGCTTATTACCCAAATTATGAAGTTCCTTATTTTCTCCTGTTTCAGGCACGAGGAAGATCGCCTGTGGGAAGACATGCTTGTTAGGGACTTCATGTGCCACGACGTGGCTTGCCTCCATCGAGATGTTCCGCTGAGGACAGCTGCCAAGGCAAGCCACGTGTCTACTCTCTTTTTGTTACAATATTGTCGTGCAGCAGCATTCCACATTCTTACGGTGGTCTTCGTACTGTTCTTTTTTTTTTGTAGATTCTGGCCAATCTGCGAATAAGCGGAGTCCCTGTTGTGGAGGCATACGAAGGGGACTCGTATGGAGCGGGGCAACTGGTTGGAGTCCTCTCACAACGGGATATTCTATGGAAAGAAACCGTACCTTATCCAGGGGTGAGTGTAAATTGCTTGTGTCGTAACGGTTGTTGGTTTCTTGATTTCACAAATGCTGATGCTAGCCGCTGGTGTTTCTGGTGTTTCAGGAGGACGACCACATGCACCGAATTTATGAAGGTCCAATGTCTCCTGTTCTGTGTGCCCAAATGAGGAAGATAGCAGCTAAAACTGTGAGTGAAGTGTTGTGCCCCATATGCCTTTTCTGCTTGCCACTTCTAGGTTCCTGGTGTGTGCTCACAAGTGGCCACTGTATTGAACGTGGTTCAGGTTGGAGATGCCATGACATCAGACACCCTTTACATTGAAGAGGACGCCCTGATATCAGATGCTGCTGAATTGATGCTTAATCACAATGTAAGTTGCTGGTTTTTGCACAGGACAAGGCACATCTTTTCCTCGACGCCGCATAACGTATCTTTACTGCGATTGTGCAGATTGCTCGTCTTCCTGTCGTCGCTCCTCGTGAAGACAATAAGCCTGGCATGACAGTCGTGGGAATTATCACCTGCCATGACATTCTTCGTCATGTCATGCGGCTGATGTGATGCGCCAATAAGATGTGTACATAGGCATCAACAGATGGTGTAAATAAGTGCCTAAGAGCAAGGAGTACGGTCTCCAATAAAAGATAAAATGTATGATGCTGTTTCCGATGCTGTATACTGGTTTCTGTCGGCATGCCATAGATCTCCTGATGTGGTGCTTATACTGGTATGCTTTGTATTGTGCACGGCTGTGTTTTGTACCGATAACATGGTAATGCTCTTTGACACCATCTGATCGCATACTGGTTGCTTTGATCCAGCCCGCATCCATCTACCTCTTAAAGCCCGAGTCTAGAATGGTATTTTTTTCATAAATACTGAAGTTGAAAGAATGTTGGCGAAGGCTAGCGAGGGTAAAATTCGCCTAACAAGGGTGGCGAAGGGTGATGAGTTCGTAATGGGAACAGCGTACTGTTTGCCACATGGGTGGATGCATCTGAACTTCCGAACTGTGTTGTGTGAGTAAGTGGCAAGAGTGTTACAAAATGCTTTATACAATTTACAACTTATGTGAAAGCTTGTACATATTTGGTATCAATCCAAATTGGAATCAACTCTCTTCACCGTGGACCATATTACTATTCTATGTGTGGGTAATTGTAAATTACCTGCAGTTTTACTCATTAAAAAACAGTTTCACGAATATATACTGCCAATAACTGCAACCAAGGACATGCCCAAATTTTCCTAAATAAATTTGTCCAATCCACCTCGTGCCAATTATCACTCGTCCGGTTCACAACCACGAAAGGTGAGTGGTGGTGGTGCAGGCACAAGCCAGGGGCCCAATTTGAGAAAACTCAGGAGTGTGAAACAAGCAAGCGGACACGGGTAGCAAGAAGGAAAGAGGGTGGGGAAGAGAGTGAGTAAGGAGAGGAAGAGAGGAGTGGGGCGGAGAGAGGCGCGAAGGGAGAAGAGGACAAGGAAGGGAAGGGGCGAGAGGACAAGGAAGGGGAAGGGTGTGGAAATAAGGGCCGAGATCAGAGGGGAGGGGAAAAACGAGTGATGAGAAGAGGAGGGAGAGGAGGGAGGAGATGGCGGCGAAAGGGGGGGGGGAGGAAGAGGAGGATGATCTCAGAATCTACATGCAACGGAATGATTGGGATTAGGGTTTGCAAGGTGAAACAAACGGTCACAAGACCAGTCAAGGCAAGACAAGCTCAGGGTGGATCTCAAGGACACCACACAAATTCCGATCACAAGCAAGCGGCCACAAGGCCAGTTCAAGAGTTCACTAGGATATAAATAGGAAAACACAACAAGCAGAGCAAGCAACAAGACTACAGCAACCGAGGGCCTACCTCAACAAGCCCCAACTGCACAAAGAACCTGTGGTGATCACCAAGCGCCAAGGCCTGGGTGAAGACGTCTGCAGTGTTGGCCTCTGAGGCCACAAAGTCCAGGCGTGCCTGGCCGCGTCGCTGCAGCTCTCGCAGGAGGAAGTACCTCACGTCAATATGCTTCACTCTGCTCTCCGGTCGAGGCTCTCGACACAGGAGGATCATGGCCTTGTTGTCAGCGTACAAGGTCGGTGCAGAGCGAGGCCGCTCACCAAGGTCGGCGAGCAAGAAGGTCAACCAGCGAAGCTCCTGTGCCGCCATGGCACCAGCGTAGATCTCTGCCTCTGCACTGGAAGTAGCCACAGACGACGACCGTGTAGACCTCCACGACACAGCACTAGCTCCCAGACTGAAGCAGTAACCCTGAGTCGAACGCTGAGCCTCCACGTCGTCAGCGTAGGAAGAGTCGCAGTGACCAGTCAACGCCACTGGCTGAGTCCCTCCAAGCACAAGCCCCATGCCTGATGTAGTCGCCAGGTACTTCGCCACCCTCACAGCAGCTGTCCACTGGACAGGACGGTGTCTCCCAGTCGCAACAAAGCGAGAGAGGACGCTGAGGGGAAAGGCGAGGTCCGGCCGAGTACAAGTCATCAGGTACATGAGGCAGCCCACCAGCTCTACGTAGGGACCACTGGACTCAAAAGGCTCGTCGGGAAAGGGGCCAGTGAGTCTGTGGTCAACAGCAAGAGGAGTGGGCTGTGTGGTGGAGAACTGGAAGTCGAACCGCCGAAGGACCTGCTGCACCATGTGTGACTGCGTCAGTGTGATGGTGCGAGCGGCTCTGTCCCGGGTGATCTGCAAGCCAAGGTAACGCTGCAGCTCACCCAGGTCAGTGCACTTGTGTCTCTTCTGCAGTTCGAACTTCACCTGAGCCAGGGCTGCCCTGTCTGCTGTAGCAAACACCAAGTCGTCGACGTAGACAAGGATAAAGAAAGGAGTAGAACCCGCTCGAACAAACAGCGACGGGTCGGCGGAGGACGGGCTGAACCCAAGGTCACGAAGCGTGGAGCGAAGAGTGTCGTGCCACTCACGGGGCGACTGGCGGAGACCGTAGACTGGTCGCCTCAGGCTCCACTGGGTCCCAGGTGGGAAGGTGTCAGTGAAGCCAGGAGGACGGCGCAGCCAGATCTCCTCGTGCAGTCGGCCCTGGAGGAACGCAGTGGAGAAGTCGAGGGAGTGCAACTCGTAGTCTCGCTGCGCTGCTATGTGGAGTAACACCCGAAGAGTAGTCATCTTCGGGGTCGGGGCGAAGGTCTGGAAGAAGTCAACTCCCTCACGCTGACTGAAGCCCCTAGCCACGTAGCGCGCCTTGAACACCGGCGGTGCTCCAGGCGGCCGCTTCACCTTGAAGAGCCACATGCCATCGACTACGTTCGCCCTGGGAGGGGGAACTGCGTCGACGTAGGTGCCTGTGGATCTCCAAGACGCCAACTCTGAGTCCATAGCCGCTTTCCACTGAGAGGCCCACGCCCCTGACACTGCCTCGCGGTAAGTGCGAGGAGTCGGTATGTCAAGGGCGTCGGGGTCTCCCTCAGGGGAGAGCAGCATGGCACACACAGAGGGAGAAGCGGCTGCCCAGTACTCCAGCTCAGACTCTCTGTCCTCTAGGACGTCACAGCCAAGGGCAAACTCACCCCCGACGGACACAGGACGGGAGGGAGGAGCTGGCACCACACGGGTGGCGTAGTCAAGGCGGGTGGCGGCAGCAAACTCAGCGACAGCGGCAGTGAGAGCAGAGACCGACGACGGAGGGAAACGAGAGTCGGTGACAAGAGTGGCGAGGACACGTGCGGCAACAGGACGAACAGTGCGGTAGTAGTCAGTGATAGGAGTGGGGAGGGCTGGGAGAGAGGACGGAGGAGGAGACGGGAGAACTGACACAGGAGAAGGAGAACGACGACGAGACGTACAAAGGAGGGCAGTGTGGAGGTCAGTAACAGGGGACGAGTGACGAGCACGCGGAGGACAACGAATGACCAAGTCGCGACGGACCGAAGGAGGAGGAGACTGGGGAGGAGGAGAAGACCAGACTGTCGGACGGTCGTTAGGAGGAGGCACCGGAGGAACAAACACAGGAGGAGACTGGGAGCGGACAGAAGGAGAGGAGGAAAAGCCAAGGGCCTGCAGGCCACTCACATGTGGGAACAACTGCCGCTCCGGAGGAAACTGCGGTGGCGGCTGCGGCTGCTGCTGCTGCGGCGGCGGCTGCGGCTGCTGCTGCGGCTGCTGCTGCTGCTGCTGCTGCTGCTGCTGCTGCTGCTGCTGCTGCTGCTGCTGCTGCCGCTGCTGCTCCAGAAGGTCCAGCACCCTCAGCTCCTGCCGCTCCCTCTCCAACCGCTCCTGCTCCTCACGCTCACGCCGGCGGGCAGCCTGGAGTCGTGTGTCGTGGCGGTGGGGAGGCGGAGTGGACTCCGTAGAACCAGGGTCAGACTCCTCAGACTCAGCACCCCCAGAACCAGCACCTCCAGTGCCAGGACCTCCAACTCCAGCACCCCCAGTTTCAGCACCTCCAGTGCCAGGACCTCCAACTCCAGCACCCCCAGAACTAGCACCACCAGTGCCAGCACCTCCAGCTCCAGCACCCCCAGAGCTAGCGCCACCTGCGCCAGCACCTCCAGCTCCAGCACCCCCAGAGCTAGCGCCACCTGCGCCAGCACCTCCAGCTCCAGCACCCCCAGAGCTAGCGCCACCTGCGCCAGCACCTCCAGCTCCAGCACCCCGCGACCGAGTACCCCCAGACCTAGCACCGCCAGTGGCTGCACCTCCAGCCCCAACACCAACCGAGTCCACAGTAACCTGTCGCGGAAGTGCCGAAGGCTGCTGAGGGGACTGTGAGGAGGACTGCGGGGAGGGAGACGCTACCTGACGCGCGACCGAGGGTAGAGGGGTAACGTGGGACACACCAGACGGGGCAGGACCAGGGGGGGGCGGGGGTACCGGAGGAGCGGGAGCAGGAGGAGGAGAGGGTGCGAGGAAAAGAGGGGGAGGGGGTACCGGGAGACCTCGACAGGGGTACCGGGTGTAGTAGGACACGGACTCGTCAAACCGGACGTCACGGGAGTCTAGGAAGTGGTGGAGGGGAGGGTGGTAAAAGGACCAGTCGGCAGAGTCCACTAGGAAACCAAGGAAGACACAGGGGACGGCGCGTGCCGAGAGCTTGTCCGCGGAGGTGTCGCGAACAAGCGCAAGGCAGCCCCAGACTCGAAAGGCCGACCCGACACCAGGGGAACCAGTCCAAAGACTGGTCGGTGAAACCTCGGGCCGCGAGACACGCGGCTGGAGGTTCAGCTGGTGTGCGGCGTAGCGAACCGCGTGGGGCCACAGAAAATGGGGCGCACGGGCATGGATCATGGACGTGCGGGCGATGTCCATGACCAAGCCTATGCGGCGCTCAGCAGCCCCATTCTGCTGTGGGGACTCTGGCAGCGTCCAGGACTGGGTGATGCCCTGTTCGCCGCAGAATCCGCCGAGAATGCCGGAGCAAAACTCGCCCCCACGGTCGGAGTGGAGACAACTGACTCGACGACCACGAGTGCCCTCAGTGGCTAGAAGCCACCTGATCAGCGTAGCAGTCACCTCGGACTTCTTCGCAAGAGGGAACACTGTGGTGTACCTGGAGAAGTCGTCAACGACCACCAGAAAGTAACGCTCCCTCCCAGACCCCTGCGTCGGGGCAGGGCCCCAGACGTCCAAGTGGAGAGTCTCGAAGGGAGCGGTGGCCGGACGAAGGGAGGAGGAGTGGGGAGTGGCGCGTAAGCGACCGGCGACGCACGGAGAGCAAGGAGGGGCAAGCGAGAGAGGGAGCGACGGGAAGGTGCGTGGGAGACCTGAGACAAGTCCCTGACTGAGCATGCCACGTAGGCGAGGGAGCGACGGGTGGCCAAGGGGGCGGTGCCACAGGACGGTGCGGTGGGTGAGAGAGCGACAGGAGCAAGACGCCGCGACTGGACTGGGCACAGCGACCGGACCGGACACTACTACCTGGCTAGACACAGCAATTGGACTGGGGACCTGGGCTGGAGGGGACGTAACGACCTGAGGGGAGGACGCGACCGGGGAGCGCTCGGTGTGGAGAACGTAGAGACCGGAGCGGGGCTCCCTGGTGAACGTGGCCAGAACAGCACCTGTGGTAGCGTCTGTACAGACTGCAGTCCGCCCACCCCCCACGAAGGTAACCGTGATCCCCCTGTCCTGGAGGTATCCAACACCCACCAAGTTCCGAGTGAACGAGGGGATGTGGAGGCCGCGCAGGACACCAGAGGGGACCACAGGGCACGGGAGGGTGGTGGAGCTACGCGCAACGGCTGGTCCAGAGGTAGGATCAGCCAGAGCCACCGACACAGGTGTGAGGAGTGGTGTAAGGGTCGTGTGGTCGCGGAAGAAGCACTGAGACGCGCCCAAGTCCAGCGTGAACGACAGAGAGGCCTCAGCCGGCGGGTCACCTGACCCAGTCGCTACACAAGCACCTAGAGCAGCAACACAAGCACCTAAGCTAGACAGGCACAAGGCTACACTAGCAGGAGGCAAGCAGGCTAACCTACGAACACGCGAGCACACACATCCATCAGCACTAAAGTCAGCATCAACATACAAAGCATGCTGACGCGCATCGTCCATGGACAAATCAAAGACATCAATCTTACGGGCTAACAGACGAGACCAGCGAGGCGTGACCGCCAGAGGGCCCCAACGAGCCCGGTAGAGGTCGTCGAGGCGGCGGAAGCACCGCGCGGCAGAGTGGTCGTCGCGACCACAGAGACAGGGGCTCCCCGGCCCGGTGACGCACCAGTGGGTGCACGGGCCAGCGTCACGGCGAGGGGGGCGAGGGGCCCACCTGGAAGTACTGCTGCTGCGGCTGGTGCTCCCAGGGCCGCCCGGACCCCACTGCGGCGGGGGACCCCAGTGCTGCTGCGGACCCCACTGCAGCGGGGGCCCCCACTGCTGGGGTGCCTGCTGCTGCTGCGGTCCCTGCTGTGGCGGGTGCTGCTGTGGGTACCGCTGTGGCTGCTGCTGCTGTGGGCCTCCACCAGTGGGAGGGCCCGGCTGTCCGGCGCCCGCTCCAGGGCCCCCTCCTCCCGGTGCACCACCGCCGCCGCTGCCACCTCCACCCCCGCCGCTCCCACCTCCACCGCCTCCTCCACCGCCCCCTCCACCGCCGCCGCCTCCGCCCCCACCCCCCCCCTTCCCGCCCTTCTTGCCGCTCTTGCCCCGTTTCTGCCAGTCTGCGGCAGAAACGGCAGCAGTGTCCTCAGAGACCGACACAGCAGCAGAGGCGCGGATAGCGGTGAAAGTGGGAAGCTGAGGGGCGGCACACCCCGCAAAGAGACAGGGGGCCACCGCATCAGTGGCGGAGGCAACGGTGAGGAGACTGCTCTCGATGGTCCCTAGAGCAGTCGCTAGGAGGTCGATAGTGAGCTCAGTGGGGTGCTTCTGAAGAAGCGCGTCGCGGGCAGTGGCAAGGCGGTCAAGGAGGCGGGTGACTAACCAGTGAACAGTGAGCCACATGGGGGGGGGAGCAACTAGAAGCTGTGCGTCGGTACTGGCAGCGCGGAAACCGGCGTCAAGCGAGCGGAGGTGAGTCACTAGGTCGGAAACAGTCGCAAACGAGCCTAGGTCGGGAAACACAAACGGCATGAGGAGGCGACTGAGGGAGGCAGAGGAGGGGGTGGAGTAGCGAGCAACAATAGCCTCCCAAACCCCCTGTGCAGTCTCCACCTGGTCAAAGTGGGCGGCCTCAGTCGGGGGGAGAAGCTCCGACAGAGTGAGAGCGGCGGCTGCGTCACGCGAGAGCCACACGTCCCTGGCCAGGACCCGACGGTCGTAGTCCGCCTGTGCCGTAGGGGTCGGCTCCGGGGTGGTCGGCAGGGCGGCGGGGGACGGGGGGGCCTGTAGGGCACCAGACGCATGAGCCCACAGAGTGGCGCCGTCCTGTCGCTGGCTGGTGAGGAAGCGTGTGGTCTGGCGCTGCCAGGTACCGAACTCGATTGGGCGTCCCTCCGCATCGAAACGGAGGCGACGGGCCTCCATAGCGGAGCCCATGCTAGAGGCGGCTGGAGCACGGCGGAGGCGGAGCTAAGAACGAGGAGGAAAACTACGGAGCGCCAGGAGAGAAAGCGGCGGAGCGAGAGACTAGGAGTACCGAGCGACCTAGACTAGGCGTGAAATCGTGGATCGCCAGCTACAGGTGCGAGGAGCGAGGTATGAGCGGCTAAAACGGCTCTAACCTAGGTGACCGGCGAGAGAGAGCGGCTGCCAGCCGCTGAGGGATAGACCAGTGTCAGCAGAGCTGGGGAGGGCCCCGCGCACAAGGCGGTGGTGGGGCTAAGGTGATGAACAGTGAGAGAGGGGCGGGGAGGCCGAATGCGACGGTGAAAATGGGCGGGAGGAGGATCTGACGGTGAGAAATGGGCGGGGAGGGGAGGTTGACGCGACGGGCAAGGGAGGGCGACGGGATTGGGAGGGGAGGGCGACGCGACGGGCAGGGGGAAGGGAGGCGACGCGACGGGCAGGGGAAGGGGAGGCGAACGCGACGGGCAGGAGGAGGGGAGGCGACGCGACGGGCAGGGGGGACGGGAGGCGACGCGACGGGCAGGGGGAGGGGAGGCGAACGCGACGGGCAGGAGGAGGGGAGGCGACGCGACGGGCAGGGGGACGGGAGGCGACGCGACGGGCAGGAGGAGGGGAGGCGAACGCGACGGGCAGGAGGAGGGGAGGCGACGCGACGGGGAGGGGAAGGGGAGGGGTGGCGACGCGACGGGGAGGGGGAGGGCGCGACGGGTAGGGGGAGGGCGCGACGGGCAGGGGGAGGGCGCGACGGTCAGGGGGGAGGGCGCGACGGGCAGGGGGAGGGCGTGGAGGGCGCGGAGGGTACTAACGTGCGGAGGGCGCGGAGGGCACGAACGTGCGGAGGGCGCGGAGGGCACGGAGGGGCGGGCCGAGGGGCGCACTAAGGGGCGCGACGTGGGGCGGGCTGAGGGCCGCGCTAAGGGGCGCGAGGGCGCTAGGAGCGCGGAGTGCGCAGAGGGCGCTAGGCGTGACGGAGGGCGCGGAGGGCGCTAGGCGCTACGGAGGGCGCGAGGGCGCGGAACGGAGGGCGCGCCGGCTAGGGCGGGGAGGGAGGATCGATACCTACTCGTGATACCATCTCAGAATCTACATGCAACGGAATGATTGGGATTAGGGTTTGCAAGCATACAAATAGGAGTCCTACAAATGTTGTACCCTCTAGGGAGTGCCTCACTGCAGCCTATCATAACATTAACATTTGACAGATGAGTGTGGGCAGGTGGGGTGTGAGGAGCACGTGTGTTGCTCGCTGCGTCCCCCTGCGCTGCCGTTCCAACTGCCACCAGGGAAGTGGGAAATGAAGTGGCGAGGAAGGGGGTTCGGAGCAAAGGGATGAGGGTGAGGGGAAGCGGAGGGCAAGGGATGAGGGATGACATTATTTGATAGACAAGTCATGTCCTTAGTGAGGGTGCAAGGGGAGGGGGGGGGTAGGGGCGGGATGGGGGGGGTGGAGAGGGGTGTCTGGGTGGGTGTATGTGAGAGAGAGGGGAGCCAGGGAGTCACATGGAGAGCACAGGCAAGCTCTTACACTCCTCCACCCCCCACCCCCTCTCCCTCCCCTCCTCCCCTTTTCCCCATGTTCCCAATACCCACCATATCCATGGACCGGTGAGATGAGAGGACGCCTCCTCCCCTGTAAGCTCCTAGAGGATGGCGGCCATGACAGGTTGCACGATTTCAACGTCAGCACTGCGGAAGCGGCGCGCATAGATGGAGACGAAGGAGAGGAGTGACGTGTAGAGTAAGAGGTGATGAGAGATTGGAGAGTGAACGAGAGTGGAGAATGAGGTGATTTCTTTGCCACATTAGGCTTGCAGGAAAAGGAGGAGAGGAATGGTGAGAATGAGAACAGAGGAAAGGAGAAAAGCGGGCAGAAACGGATGGGCGTAGATAATAAGAGAGCGAAAGGAGGAGAAGGGCTGTAGGTGCAAAGGAATGGGTGATACGGTGAGTGGGAGGGGAAGTGGGGAAGCAGCGCGGAGGGAAGGGGTAGCAGCGCGTGTGAGAGTGGGGAGAAGCGCGTACGGGAGAGAGGGAGGGGAGGGTGATGGGAATGACTGAGCGGGTGGAGATGGGCAGAAATGGGATAAGGAAGACGGAGAGGGAAAGGCAAGGGGAAATGGAGCGAGGTACATGGGGGAAGGGAAGGAAGGACCATGGGGAAATGGGAGTGAAGGGCAAGCGGAAAACGGAGGGAAGCACTGTTGGAAAAGGGAGAGAGGGACAAGTGGGGAAACGGTGGGAAGGACATGGGAAAAGGGAGGTGGTGCAAGGGGGAACCGAGGGGAAATGCGGAGGAATGCCAAGGGAGGAAGAGACGGAAAAGGGATGGATGGGAGTCGTCCCCTCAGGGATGGGAGAGGGGTAAAAGGAGGCGAATGGAGGGAGGGAAGGGATGTTACGAGGGAGGCTGACAAGGGAATTGAAGGCGACGAGCACGATATACGATGGCGAATGGAAGGAATCGCGTGGGCGACGGGAAGGAAAGGCGAGGGCGACGGGAAGGCAAGGCGAGGGCGACGGGAAGGCAAGTCTAGGGCGACGGGAAGGCAAGGCGTGGGCGACGGGAAGGCAAGGCGAGGGCGACGGGAAGGCAAGGCGAGGGCGACGGGAAGGCAAGGCGAGGGCGACGGGAAGGCAAGTCGAGGGCGACGGGAAGGCAAGGCGAGGGCGACGGGAAGGCAAGGCGTGGGCGACGGGAAGGCAAGGCGAGGGCGACGGGAAGGCAAGGCGAGGGCGACGGGAAGGCATGGCGTGGGCGACGGGAAGGCAAGGCGAGGGCGACGGGAAGGCAAGTCGAGGGCGACGGGAAGGCAAGGCGAGGGCGACGGGAAGGCAAGGCGTGGGCGACGGGAAGGCAAGGCGAGGGCGACGGGAAGGCAAGTCGAGGGCGACGGTAAGGCATCACGAGGGCGACGGGAAGGCAAGGGGAGGGCGACGGGAAGGCATCACGAGGGCGACGGGAAGGAATCGCGAGGGCGACGTAAAGGGAAAGCGGCGAGCGACGGGATGGGAAAGCCGAGGCGACACTCAGAGTAAGCGTGGATGACGGGCGCGGGAAGGGAGCGCCACCTAAAAGGCGACGGGGAGCGTGTGAGTGACAGGTTTGAGCGTGTAATCTGCCCGAATCCTAAACGGGTGCGAGTGAGCGATGCCTTAGGAAGCCGAGATATAGCCACATTGTGGACGTTCGCGCTAACATTCTGTGCGAACAGCAAGCGCACGTCAGGATTACGTGTGACGGGAGTGAAGGGCGTGAGTAACACTTCCGTTTATAAGTCTAGTGCCTCGTGTAAGCCTCTTACCATCGAGCTAAAGCTGATTCTGAGTGCTATTACCCCTACTACTAGCGAGTCTAGAACGGTAATCTCGAGCTTCAAGTTTCCGGGAGTATGAACAGTAGTTCCAGTTCTGTGTTTTTATGGCGATGGCTGTGAGCAGGGCCTCAGATTCGTTTGAGGGTACCCTGTGGACTCAGGGCAGTTTTTAAGAAACCCTATTTTGTCCTGAAATGTCAGGAATGTGCAAGGATGGGTTTGCTGTAGGGTCAGTGCTACAAATGACATTATCCTGGCCCGTCAGTGCTACATTTCATTTTATCCTGTGCACGACGGTTAAGGCTGTATTTGTTCTAATTAAGAGCCACTTTGGAAACTTTTTAAATACACATGCATTTCAACATTCATCGTCCTCCTCGTCCTCCTCCAGAAAATCTTGAAAAGCATCATTATCATTGTCCCCCCCACTGTTTGCATCCCCCCCCCCCATCCTCTGCGTGGTGGTCACGCTTCTCTGCAAGTGACCCCCGGAACCCTGTGGCACTCCGCTTCGATACATTCACCGTGGCTGCCTTGCGCTTGGTGGGTCGCCTCTTCTTGGTGCTGCGCCACAGTGCCACAACTTCACTCCACTCCATGTCGTACTCCAGTAGACTCAGCGTCATGAGGTCGCCCAGCTTCGCGTCGCACAAGCTGGTCCGCTGCCAGCTCTTGATGACATTCTGGCGCGAGAATCCGCGCTCGCACTCCACCGTGCTGAGCGGCAACACTGCCACAGCCGCCCACAGCCGCACCAGGTTCGGATAAGTCCGCTGCCAGTCCGCAGTTGACAGGATCGCCCGCAACCCCGCATGGAAGGGTTGCTCCTCCTTTGGCGCCCCGGACAGCACAGACAGAAACGTGCGCATCTCCTTCCGCACTTCGCGCTTGTTCACACCTGTATGATGGGATGATAAGGGAACATACAAGCGCAGCATCAACAATCACGCTTCTAAGGGGTACAAGATACACAGCGATGTTTGTGGGCGAACAAAACAGTTATCTCACCAGGCAGTATATCATCTCTGACGCAAGCATGGAACATCACCGCCAGCTTCTCCATGTGTTCTTTGCACTCCGCGTCTCTCGCCTCTTTCCCACGCGGCCAGGTTCTTGGCATGAAGAGCTTTGCGGCGTTGAGATTTGTCAGGTCGCCAAGCCGAAAGTCGAGGTTGTAAAGCAGCTCAGTCGCAAACGAGCGACACGTTCGAATGCAGGACTGGATGTCACCAGCGCTCGCCGAGTACCCGGGAATCGCCTCCTCGTGCAGGGTGAACTCATGCTCCCTTGCCTCCCCGTCGGCGTCCACTCCCTGCACAGTCACTTCCCTGCTGCATGGTGCACTGTGGCGAGCAAGGAACGGCGACAGTAGAGTGCTCGCCCCTGCACCGAACTGTTGCCCACAGTCGATGTAGCGCTCTCTTATGAAGACTTCTGTACACCTCAGCTGGGAGTGGACCCCCGTTAAGTCAACCTGTGGTCGGGTTTTGGATCAGGGAGGGCACAGTAGTGAAACACATCCGTGAGCATCATACACCTATCAAGTGAATAGTGCTACAAAGCAGACAACGGTACCTCGCGCCTCTGGAAGAGCAGGTTGAGCGAGTTCAGCTCTACGTGTACATCCGCCAGGAAGTACACAAAGAAGTGGAACTTCAGGCTGGTGACCATGTGGTAACAGGTTGAGTCCAGCTGCTCCAGAAGGACAATCACCGCCGGCAGCACCTGTTAGAATGAACAAGTGTGTTGAACTAACAAGATTGGGAGCACAAGTAGGAAACCCTAGAATGTTGTACCCCCTAAGGCTAAACCCACTATAGCCTACACAATGTAAACATATAATGTTTGACACACCCCCATAGGCTAAGTGGGGGAGAACAAGGGGTCACAAGACCAGTCAAAGCAAGGCAAAGTAAAACAAGCTCAGGGTGGATCTCAAGGATACCACACAATTTCCGAGCACAAGCAAGTGGTCACAAGACCAGTTCACATGCAGTTTGATAATATAACAAGAGGTACAGTGATCACAACCTAGCAAGTGTAAACATGCAGGTATATATATAGAGATCACAGTACAAACATAGTCAAGAAGTGAGCAAGTGAGGGAGAGTAGGCACAAGGCCTAGAACAGTACAGAAACGCTGATGGTCACAAGGCTGAAGCGCCTTGGTGAACACATCAGCAGTGTTGGCCCGAGTGGCCACGTAACGCAGACGAAGCTGACCACGCTGCTGCAACTCTCGAGCAAGGAAGTAGCGCAGAGCGATGTGCTTCGTTCTGTGCTCCAGTCTGTGCTCCTGACACAAGGCAAGGGCGGCCTTGTTGTCGACGTACAGCACTGGAGGAGAACGAGGCCGCTCTCCCAGGTCGGTCAGCAGGTAGGTGAGCCAGCGTAGCTCCTGTGCAGCCATGGCTGTGGTGTAGATCTCAGCCTCACAACTGGAGCTGAGAACTGAAGACGAGCGTGTGGAACGCCAAGACACTGAGCCAGAGCCAAGGCTGAAGGTGTAACCCTGAGACGACCGCTGCGTAGCCTGGTCGTCAGCCCAAGAAGCGTCTGAATGTCCAGTAAGGACAACGTCGCGCCGTCCTCCAAGCACAAGCCCCATGCCCTACGTACTGCACAAGTAGCGCAACACCCTCTTAGCGGCATCCATGTGCTCCTTCCGGTGACGGCCAGGAGCGACATAGCGCGCTAGGATGCTAAGAGGGTATGCAAGGTCAGGTCGAGTGCAGGTCATCAGGTACATGAGGCAGCCCACAAGCTCTGGATACGGGCCACTCGGCTCTACGGACTCATCCGAAGGCAGAGCTGAGAGCGAGTGACCAGTAGGCAGAGGAGTGGGCTGAGGCGAGGAGTACGTGAAGCGGAAGCACTGAAGGACCTGCTGCACCATGTGTGACTGAGTCAAGGTGATGGTGCGCTGTGCTCTGTCCCGGGTGATCCGCAAGCCAAGATAGCTTGTCAGCTCACCCAGGTCTGTGCACGTGTGTCTCTTCTGCAGCTCCGACTTCACGTGGGCGAATGCCTCAGTGTCAGCAGTAGCAAAGACCAAGTCGTCGACGTACACGAGAACGTAGAACGGCGGCAGAGTGGTGTCGGTGCGTAGAAACAGCGACGGGTCAGCAGTAGAAGGAGCAAACCCAAGAGCCGCAAGCGTAGTCCTCAGTGTGTCGTGCCACTCACGGGGTGCCTGGCGGAGACCGTAGACTGGCCGCCGGAGGCTCCACTGGGTACCAGGAGGGAACGACCCAGTGAAGCCAGGTGGGCGGCGCAGCCAGATCTCCTCGTGCAGGCTGCCCTGTAGGAACGCAGTGCTGAAGTCAAGAGAGTGGAGCTCGTAGTCACGCTGAGCAGCGACGTGCAGCAGAACCCGAAGAGTGGTCATCTTCGGGGTCGGGGAGAAGGTCTGGAAGAAGTCAACTCCCTCTCGCTGACTGAAACCTCGAGCAACGTAACGCGCCTTGAAGACAGGCGGAGAACCCGGCGGCCGCTTCACCCTGAAAATCCACATGCCACTGACGATGTTCGCCCCAGGTGGGGGAACCTCGTCGACGTAGGTGCCTGTGGACTTCCAGGAAGCCATCTCTGCGTCCATGGCTGTCTGCCACTGAGAGGAGTAGAGACCCTCCATCGCCTCTGCGTAGGAGCGTGGGGTCGGGATGTCTGGTGCATCCGGGTCTCCCTCAGGGGCAATCAGCATGGACACGAGATGAGGTAAAGCAGCAGCAAAGCACTCAAACTCCTCCTGTCTGTCCTCAAGGACGTCCGTGCCAAGAGCACACTCACCCCCGACGGACGGAGGATAGACAGACTCAGACTCAGCAACAAGGCTAGCGGCGTAGTCTAGACGACAGGCGGCAGCAAAGTCCACAAGCTCAGCGACTAGAGCAGACGCAGCAGAGGACTCAAAGGTAGGGTCAGTGACAACAGTGGCAAGGAGACGCGCGACAGTAGGACTGGCAGCACGAGTAAGGTCTGACGGCGGGTCAGCAACGTCAGGAAGAGAGGACGCAGGAGGAGACGGCAAAGGGACACGCTGTGGAGCAGTGGAAGGACGCAGGGTCATATAGTGAGTGCCAAGGACAGGAGGAGGACGCTCACGCGGAACACGACGACCAGTGCGGGCAGCGCGGACAGGCGACTCTGGACGAGGCTCAGGAGACGCAGGACTAGACTCAGGCGACGGAGGACGAGACTCAGGCTCACGACGCTCCGTAAGACTACCCGTCGGCGCAGTGTAAGGAGAAGGGGCAGGCAGCGGAGAGGCAGACTGTAACTGTGACTGCGACTGGACAGACGGTGGACTCAGTAGGGGAGGAGAAGGACCAGTAGAGGGCGGGAGACCAAGAACCTGCTGAAGGAGCGGAACGTAGTACGGCCGCGGCCGCTCAGCACCTCCAGCGACAACCCCCTCAGCAGGCCCAGTCCCA